ATGTTTATTCAGAGAAAGTACGTTTTTGTGTCTGATTTCGTAACTTAATTAATAGTTAGCACTAATTAATTAGCATATTTGAGGTCACCCCCAGGAACCATTAAGATTAACACTTAGTTCGTGAAAATCCGATCATTAGAACGAAAGTTATTCAGGGTGATATCTTTTTTTTTTTTGCGGACTGTACTGGGAAAACACAGGGAATTTTTTTTTCAGATTTGAGTGGCAACCCTGTTATTTTTTGTTGAAAGATTTGGCTATGCATCTTGTATTTTGTTTCTGATCCTTAATTATTATTTTTTTCAGCTGTCAGATTTAGATTTAGAGACAAGAGGGATGGTTGAAAAAATGATGTATGATCAAAGGCAAAAGGAAATGGGATTACCTACTTCCGAAGAACAGAAAAAACAGGATGTTCTTAAAAAGTAAGCTCTTTTTTTTTTTTTTTAAAATCTTGTATCTCAAAAGTAGGTTTTTCATTCTAACCAAGGTTGGCAAGTTTTAGACAATTGATAGTTTTAACCATCTTGTCAAAAACCAGAAATTTTGGGGTCATGATAATTATTAGCTATTATAAATATTTACAATTATAAGTGATCAATCAATTATATTTAATTAATTTGGCATTATGGTCTTTTTGTTTTGACAATTGTCAAAAACCCAAATTTTGGTGCAGAAAATATTAAATAATTATTAATAAAAATGTATGAAATTGCAATTTTTCCAATTTATTAATTTATTTAATTCTTGAAAATAATTCAGAAACATTAATCTTATAAATAAATACTGAAACAATCATCTTATTCATTATATGTAAAATCAATTTTCATTTACTCCCATCTTAACTCCTCCTTTCCCTAAACATGCTGTAAAAAAATATAAATGAAAAAAATCTTCTTTTCTCCAAGCTCATTTTTAATGGTTTGGCAATTTTTTACAGTCTCCCTGACTGAATTAGTACCTTTACTCCACTAACTTTGTTTTTTAGCTCCAGTTACTTATTTTTATTTCAAGTAGAATTAGCTAAATTTATTATTGCTTATTATGAAAGGAAAAAACATCATTGGTACTAATAGCATGGAAATTTTTTATGCTCCTCCTAAGTACTCAGTACAATTAGATTACCATTTTACAAAAAATAAATAAAACAATTAAGTAAAATAGTTTTGAAACCCCTCTTTACTCCAAGCTCATTTTTAACATCATTGGTATCAATAATGATGGTATGGCGATTTTTACAATCTAACTGACTGAATAAGTACCTTTACTTCATTAACTATGTTTTTTAGCACCAGTAACTTATTTTTTATTTCAGTTAGAATTACAAAAATTTATTACTACTTATTATTTATCAAAGTAAAAAACATCATTGGTACTAACTAATAATATGGAAATTTCTTATGCTCGTCCTAGGTAACTTAGTACCATTTTGCCGTTAGTTTTATTTTTTAGCATAAAGCTTCAGTTTTTTTTATTATTATATTATTTTTTATTTCAATTAATACTTATTACCGAAATAAGTCATTGGTGCCAGTAATAGTATGGCAACTTTTTACAATCTTGCAAATTAATTTCTTTTAAACAAATAAGTATTATTTCTCCATTAATTTTTCTTTTATGTGCATATTTTTTTTATTTCAAAAATATTTGATTTTAAATTCTTTATTTTTACAGAAATATATTTTTAATGTATATAACAAGAAGCAAAATAAACATGTGATTTTCATATAACTTTAGTAATAGTGACCTTACTAAATAGTGACAGTCTCCCTATGTTACTATCTTTATGTTGATCATTGAGATTAGATGACATAATGAGGAGAAAAAACAGTACAATTCATAATTTTAAGATTCATTTATTATTTCATTTTTAGGGGTAACAAAATTACTTAAATAAAGTTATTGTGCTTGTTTTGCTTATTGTGTTATGCTATGGTCATTAAAGTCTCAGGCTTTATGAATTTCTGAAGTTAGCAGGTTTGTCAATGTTTCTGAAATTATAAGTATGACTCACAGACAAACTATTCATTTTATTATTTTTGAACTATAAAAAAAGAATTACAACTTTCTGCAATATTAGTCATAGTATACATTTTTCTCATGAAGAGAATTTAAATTTGCATCTTCATGGTCTACTTTTGAAATATTTATTATTATTTTATTTATTTATTTTTTTTTTCTGTTTCTTTTTTATTTTTATTTTGCAGGTTTATGGAAGCTCATCCGGAAATGGACTTTTCAAAATGCAAGTTCTCGTGATTAAAGCTTGTTTATATATTTGCATTCAATTTTTGTACAGTTAGTTGGAACTTCAAGTTTTCACAAAATTGTGATTTATGTAATGTAGTCAACAAGAATGTTAGTCATAATTCTATGCACATATGTTTTCTTTTTGATAAATAAACTGATGCAACAGTATTAAGTTTGTTTGTAATTAATACAAATCATACATATATTCAATATGCATGTTTTGTTGGTTAATGATAAAAAAGAGAACAAAAATGCTACAAAGTGTTCACCCATTTAAAAATGTTTCTTTTACAGAATTTTATAAAATAATATTAAGTCATTCATATTAGATTCTTTTTAAACTAGCGCAGTAGGTCAAAAAATTTATAAACACTGAGGTTAAAAATAAATTATTTTAAATTAAAAATTAGGTTTTGACTAATCTTGAAAACATTTCTTTTTTTAAATTAAGATTTTGACAAGTGATCTTAAAAACATTTATGTATTTTTGAAATCATGTTACACATTCTTAAACAGCACTGAAATAATTAAAAAAAAAACACTGTAAAAACCTCAGTTTCTATGAAAATACAAGTTTGAACAATGTTCTGCAACATTAAAATACCTTTTTCTCTTTAGCATTCAACTTTTGGCAGCCTTGAAATGTTATAGCTCGTTATAGTACAACACTAGTAAAATGCTAATAACAAGAGCGATTAATTCTGAATTACTTTTGATTGACTTATGAAATAACAGATAATTTTAAAATTATGTGGTAAATAAAACTGCTCTTTTACTTTACATCAATCTTGTAATTTTTTATGCTAACCTATCATTAAAATAAAATACTTCAAATGTATAAAAACATGACAAAATCTTTGTAATATATTAATAATTTAGCAGATAAAATATAAAACAGTAAATTTACTTTTAAATTGATATTTATTATGCTGTTTACAAATAAAAACTTTCAACTGAAATCTTTTCTTGCATGTTAAAAACAATTGCACAAAAAAATCACGAAAATTATTAAATATCAAATAGGATTAATCCCCTTTTTAACTCAAGGAAAATAAAGAGGAGTTTAATTTTATGCCTCTAATACTGAGACGCTAGATTGGACTTTAAACCTTTACAACGTAATTTTAAATGCAATGAATGAGATTATAAAGTACGTCACCTACTGAAGGCGAAAATTTAATTGTTGAGATTTTGTGCACATAAAAACCAACTGAGACAAAAAACACTACAAAATAACAGAAAATGTAAGCGATTACCAAGTATGTGTGCAAATCAATCAAAAATATTTTTTTTCTTTTCATCATGTGGTTTTCAAATCAAAGTATTAGCTTAAAAAAGAACATTTTTGGATTAGTGAGCCAGTTGAACTAAGGTTCATTATTGTGGCATCCATTCTTAGTGGATCGGTTTTATTTGCATTTCGTCTTTTGAAACACACAGAATGATGAGGATCTATCATATATACAGATTTATTTTATATTCTGGATTATTGTTCTCAATATTTAAATAAAATAAAAACTAAGTTCAGCTTTTATTTCTGGAGTCCGATTGCTTCCTTCATCCACACTCCATGGTTATTATGTATATATACAGTAGAGTTAAAATGAGGAAATTCGAAGTCAATATTCAGTATTACAACATGGCCCTATATCTCTCCTTAATATTGACCCATAGTATTCAAACTGAACCTCGTATTATATTACTGGACATTATTTTATCCTTCCAGAGGAAATAATTATAGGACTAATAGGGCCGTATAGTTTACTATGTATGTATATATATAATAGTGTGTTTAATAGCGTTAAAATGAGGAAATTCGTCTTCAAAAAACCTTTAAAACGAGGCGATTCGAAGTCATTTTTCAATATTAACGCAAGGCCCTATATCAGACCTTAATATTGACCCATAATATTTTGATTGGACTGCGTATTTTATTACCAGGTAATAGTGTACCCTACCAGAGGAAATATATATAGGCCTCATAGGGGTACACAATGTGGCCCTGTAGTTCACTATGTACGCATATCTAAGATAGTGCATTCAATTGTTTTAAAATGAGGAAATTCGTCTTTTAAAAACCTTTAAAACGAGGCGATTCAAAGTCAGTTTTCAATTCTAACGCAAGGCCCTATATCAGACCTTAATATTGACCCATAATATTTGAATTAGATCACGCATTTTATTACCGGGTAATAGTGTACCTTACTAGAGGAAATATAGGCCTCATAAGGGTACAGAATGTGGCCCTATTTCCCACATGCAAGACCCTCCAGAATATCGAAAAACACATAAAAAAATAATATAATTTAAAATAAAAAACAAAAAAAAAGAAAATTTTTTGAAATTTGTCCGTCCCTGGGATTCGAACCCAGGACCCCTCCCTCCAGCAGCGAACTTGCTTGTTTGGTGGCCTACCTTCCAGTTCACGGTGATACGTGAAGCCTACCACAGTTTCGCCTCAAAAGCTCTCTTCTCTCATCTTCGCAATATACCTTTAGGGGCCCACTGTGACCCCCCTAATTGGCCTATGAAAATTCTCTTCAGCAGGCTTGTTTAGACCATAGACCCCTAATTATGGACCGAGTTTGAAAACTATACCTTGATATTAATGGGAACTAGGGGGTCTTGAAATTTGAACCTCTCTCCAGCCATTTTATTTTTTTATTCTTTTTTTATTATTATTCCATTACGCTTTCTTTGCTGGATTTCACACACAGACAACACTCCATGCATGCTAGAATATCCAAAATGTTACAAAAGAAGTCAAAAAAGAGCAAATAGACTGATTTCAATGGATTTTTCCAGTTTTTTCCAATTTTCCCAATAAAAAAAATTATTTCCTACATGCAGAACCCTCCAGAATATCGAAAAACACGTAAAAAAATAATATGATTTAAAATAAACAAAAAAAAGCAAATTTTTTGAAAATTTGTCCGTCCCTGGGATTCGAACCCAGGACCCCTCCCTCCTGCAGTGAACTTGCTTGTCTGGTGGCCTACCTTCCAGTCCACGGTGATACGTGAAGCCTTCCACAGTTTTGCTTCAAAAGCTCTCTCCTCTCATCTTCGCATCATACCTTTAGGGGCCCACTGTGACCTCCCTAATTGGCCTATAAAAATTCTCTTTGGCAGCCTTGTTTGGACCATTGATCCCTACTTAGGGTCCGAGTTAGAAAATTACACCTTGATATTAAAGGGAGCTAGGGGGTCTTGAAATTTGAACCTTTCTCGAGCCGTTTAATTTTTTTATTCTTTTTTTTTATTATTCCATTACGCTTTGTTTGCTGGATTTCACACACAGAAAACACCTCATGCATGCTAAAATATCCAAAATGTTACAAAAAAAGTCGAAAAAGAGCAAATAGACTGATTTCAATGGATTTTTCCAGTTTTTTTCCCATTTTCCCAATAAAAAAAATTATTACCTCAATGCAGGGCCTTCCAGAATATCGAAAAACACNAAAAAAAAAAAAAAATTTAAAAAAAAAAAAAAAAAAAAAAAAATTGTTGAAAAATTGCCGGTCACTGGGATTCGAACCTTTGACCCCTCCCTCCAGCTGCGAACTTGCCTGAAAATTGAATATTTAAAACCTAAACAGAGTGAAACAGTATTTAAACATGCGAACTTTTCATACGGCCTTATTTGTATTTTTTAAGTTGCTTTTAGCTTTTTTAAATCTGATGATTTTATACCAAATTGAGGTTTGCATTAATTATCTTAATTACATGCAGATTGTAGGGCAAATCACGAAAAAGATTCCTTAAAAAAGTTTAGAGTATCTAAAAGAGATTATAATGCACATGCACGAGGTTTTGTATATTTCTTTTTCCTAAGATTGATGTATGTTCAAGAATATTGTATGATTCACTTTTTAAAGAATTGCTTTCTTTGGATAAAGATAATTTGCAAATATCATCCCGATATTTCTATACATTCTGAAACAGATATTCGCCATAAAATGTCACTCAACATGCTGTTCCCTCACCTTTGCATCTGCTGTTGCATCACCTTTTTCCCTCATTCACGTCTGGCGAGTCTTGAAAATGAGAGCCTATTTTTGAGCACGCTAACTATTTGCTTCAAACGTCGCCAATCTCAGGGCTCGCCAAACGTGAATGACTCGTGACGTGAATTTTTGAACTCTCGAAACAGGTCGACTTTTATTTAGATCTTCATATTTTATTAAGTTATTGAAGTTTTATTTTCCGTTTCAGTTTCTTGGGATTGTTCAGTTTGTAACACCGTATATCGTAATAAATTAAAATACTTAATGAGATATTAAAATAATTTGTGGTTTAGATAATGGTTATGATTTTTACAAGGGGGTCTATATTTTGCAACGTTGCTGAGTTGAGTTGTTTTCATCCTGCTGCCATGTTGAGTTGAGTTGTTTATGTTCTGCTGCCAAGTTGAGTTGAGTTGTTTATCTTCTGCTGCCAAGTTGAGTTGAGTTGTTTCCATTCTGCTACTGAGTTGAGTTGTTTGCCTCCTGTTGCTGAGCTAAGTTGAGTTGTTTCCCTCCTGCTGCCAAGTTGAATTGAGTTGTTTGCCTCTTGTTGCTGAGTTGAGTTGTTTGCCTCCTGTTGCTGGATTGAGTTGATTTTCTTCTGCTGCTGAGTTGAGTTGTTTTCATCCTGCTGCTAAGTTGAGTTGAGTTGTTTGCCTCCTGTTTCTGAGTTGAATTGAGTTGTTTCTCACCTGCTGCTGAGTTGAGTTGTTTCTCTCCTGCTGCAAAGCTGAGTTGAGTTGTTTGCCCACTGTTGCTGAGTTGAGTTGTTTAACTCCTGTTGATAAGTTGAGTTGAGTTGTATCCATACTGCTGTGAAATTGAGGTGAGTTGTTTCGTTCCTGCTGCCAAGTTGAGTATAGTTGTTTGCCTCCTGTTGCTGAGTTGAGTTGAGATGTTTGCCTCCTGTTGCTGAGTTGAATGGGGCACGGGCATTGATTGTAAACAAACAATCAATTGCGGGTGTCTGGGTGGCGAGGTTGTCATAGACTTAAC